ATATATATATATATATACACACACACACACACACAGACATACAGTAACAGTTCAGTAAATTGATTAGGGTGATTCTGGTACTCTGTTTTGCAATCACATTATGTGTGTAGTTACAGCCATCTGTGTGTGAAGGCGGTTACTGACAAGCTCCTCATCTGTGAGCTGTGCTTTGGTCTGGTTGTCAGGGGGAAGTAATTTGCCAAGATGGTGCCCTGTGGTGATCCCGTAGGCATTGGACTTCTGCTCCTCCTTCACCTCTGGCTGGAGCAAGAACCCCTTTTCAAAGCTGAGGCCAAACCATTCACAAGGGGCAAAAGTCAGACACTTTTCAGCCAGCAGTCCTTTGAGACGCTCACGCCACTGTTTTAGCATTGCAGTTCGCACTTCAGCAGGACAGTGAGCTGGACTCCAGAAAATCTGAGGAGCAAGGACCTGAAATCCACAGAAGTGCAGAGTGCCATTCTGAAAAACAAACAAAAACAAAACAAAAACAAAAGGCACAAATGTGAAGTGAAGCACAAACGGTGGTGTGCATAGCACAGTGGATGCCCAGGGTGAGCGCATGGTAATGATGCCCCTAAAAATATTTAGCTGATTTTTGTGTTTGACCTGCATCTGTGTTGCCCAACCTTTATTGAGGCAACGCATTATTTTAAATGAGATTTTTTTTTTTTTCACAATAAACAAATTAAACAAAGACACCCCTAAGGATGTCTCACTAAACAATGTGGTGCTATGCTACCCTCGTTCAAAATCACCAGATTAACTAAATGGCCTGTAAAGAGCACATTTTCTCTGTTGATACTTGAGTAGTTTTAACAGCAGATAATCCTCACCTGAAGAGGCCACAGTGTGACGTTAATGTCTCCATTGATGCCATCGGGGCGAAACATTGATTCTATTGCTCCAGTTGTAAAGGATAACATCGCTTTCTTATCCTTGGGGGAAACATTAAATCACATATATTAGCAGATGTGTTGAAGGCAAGGACCTGATCTCTCAGGCACTCACATATATAAACAAATGAGTATCGAACTTATCTTCATTTTAAACATGAACAAGTGGAGTCTACTGATCTGCTGATATATTAAATTTACAGACTGATGTGAAAGCACTATATAAATAAAGATGTATAGTATTTTATTGCGGAATAATAATGATAATAATAATATTAATAAATAATAATAATAATAATGATAAAGAAACATACAAAAAATTATACACTGTACTGTATTTCAGGTACTGTGCTTTGCAATACCAAATAATCTGTGTTTTAGTTTTCATTGTATTTATTCAGGTGGCGTGGTGGATGACTGATTATCACATCCGCCTCACAGTTTAACGGTCATTGGTTCAAATCCGAGTTCTGGCCTTCCTGTGTGCCGTTTCCATGTTCTCCCTATGCCTGCGTAGGTTTTCTCTGGGTACTCCAGCTTCCTCCCACATTCCAAAAACATGCATGGTATGTTAATTAAAGACCCAAAATTGTCTCTAAGTGTGAATGTGAATATAATGACGTTTGTCTATATGTGACTTATGATTGGCTGATGACCAATCCAGGGTGCACCTTGCACCTCACCCAAAGTCAGCTGAGATAGATTCCAGCACATGACTCTTATGAGGATAAGCGGTACAGAAAATGGATGGATGGATGGATTTATTCATTGTACTGTACTATTCATGCATTTTCTAAAAGAGAAGTACAACACCTGATTCATTCATCGATCCATCCAGCCATTCATCCATCCATCCATCCATCTTCTGATCCACTCATCCTCACAAGGGTTGCGGGCGTGCTGCAGCCTTTCCCAGCTGTCTTCAGGCAGTAGGTGGGGGACACCCTGAACTGGTTGCCAGCCAATCGCAGGGCACACATAGACAAACAATCATTTGTGCTCACAATCACACCTAGGGACAATTTGGAGTATTCCATCAACCTGCTATGCATGTGTTTTGGAATGTGGGAGGAAACCGGAGTACCTGGAGAAAACCCACGCAGGTATGGGGAGAACATGCAAACTCCACACAGCAAGGCCAGAGCCAGAATCGAACCCTGCACCTCTGCAAGTGTGGCCGACGCGCTAACGAGTCGATCACCGTGCCACCCACACCTGATTCATTTTAATGTCATTATCACAGTTCTACGTATAGTACTGCAGCAGCTCCTCTGAGACGGACCTTGAAAATACCGTTGTTGTACATCTTTTCCAGGGAGAAAGCAAAGCCCTGAGTCAGCACTCGGTCCATCCATCCCTTCATGATGGCAGGTACACTGAACCAGTATAAAGGAAACTGCAGAACGACATTATAATATTTATTTTTTATTGAATTAGTTCCCTTGCCTTTTCAGTCATGCTCAAAGAGGATTTTTTTTCCTTTTCCAAATTCAAAACAGTTGCCAGGTGCTTTTGTCAAAATACCCCAATATCAATAGAATACAGCACATTTACCGCACCCTCCATCATCATTGGCACGCCTGGTGAAAATGCTTTCTTAAGCATCAAATAAATTCTTTTTTTCCCGAAATAATATAGAACCATTTCGATATACAGTAATGCAGTAATGCCTTAATATTCAGTGATATGTTGACTGAAGGCCCGAGGTCCACATGTTCATGGTACCAACTCCAATTCCAAGATATTTCATGTTCAAACGGATGGATTTTATTGTTCTCTTGCAAAAAAAAAAAATCTCTCATTTTGAATATGATGCTTGCAACACATTCCAAAAAAGATGGGATGGGACAAGAATAACATTGCGAAAAATGAGGAATGTGAAAAACAAACAAACAAAAAAAACAAATTAAAAAAACCCCACCTGTTTGGAACATTCCACAGGAAAACAGGTTAATGAGGAGCATGTGGGTGACATGAGTGGGTGTTAAAGGAGCATTCAGAAAAGCTTAGTTGTTCACAAGCAAAGATTGGGTGAGGTTCACCACTTTGTGGACAAATGCGAGTGCAAATAGTCCAACCGTTGAAGAACAAGTACTAGCCTGGGATGCCAGCAGTCCAGACCTGTTTCCCACTGAAGATGTGAAGCACAAAATACAACGAAGGATACATTGGGAGGCGCTGGCAACTGAATTGTACATCAATCAAGAATGGGAAAAAATTCCACCTATGAAGCTTCAACAAACAGTGTCCTCAGTTCCTAAATGCTTAATGAGTGTTCTTAAACAGAAGAATGATGTAACACAGTGCTAAACATGCACATGTCACAGATTTTATGGAATGTGTTGCAGGCATCAAATTCAAAATTAGTTTATATTTGCAAAAAAACAAAACGACACAAAATAACATAACATATATCTGTTTAAACTTTAAATATCTTGTCTTTGTTGTGCAGTCAAGTGAATATACTGTAGGTTGAAAAGGATTTGCAAATCATCGTATTCTGTGTTCATTTACATTTTACAAAGTCCGAACTTTTTTGGAATTGTGCTTGTACGTGGATCATATTATTTTCACCTGTTTTCAGTTGGGTGCATGATATACAGACTAACTTTTAAAACCAAGCACTTGAGATTATCTGAGCATTCATCATATTGTGAATGAAACTGCAAAATTGATTGGTAAATCCGCAAAGAAAAACAAACCCACAGTTATCCTGACTGGAAAAAAAACAAAACAGTTCTTACTTGATAATCGTATTTCATACTAACCTTTGATGTAGTTTGTTAGTCATTTCAACATCACAAGTGACTCCTTACCTGGAAGATGATGAGCTCAGCCTCTTTTACTTTACGTTGTTCGGCCATAATGTCTTCACTTAGGCAACCCTCCCTCCAGGCATGCATAGTCTCCTCTCCATACTGGAAAAGCTCTGAGTTCTTCAAATCACCTGCACAGCACCAACATTGTCAGTAGTAAATTGATAAATAAAGTGACCGATTTAATGGCTGCAATACTGTATTTCAATGTGTCTACAGTGCTCTGAAAAAAAGTATTCATACTCTTTCAACTTTTTTCCCATTTTGTGACCTTACCATCAAAAACACAAATATATTTCCATTAGATTTTATGTGATATACCAAAACAAAGTAGCACATAATTGTGAAGCGCAACAAAATTGTCGATTTTTTTTTTGTACTCTGATACCAACAAATACAATCCAATGTAATCAATTGAGTCCCCTTGTGTTATACTGTACATACACTTGTTCTTTGAAGGTATCTCTGGTTTGTTGAAAAAAAGCATCTCAAAGACAAATGAACTCACCAGACAAGTCAGTGATAAAGTTGTGGACAAGCCATTGTAAAAAAAAGGCTAAAAGTGCTTTTTGTCATTGAAGGGACAGCATAAACTATTGGAAGAAGATGCTGTGGTTTGATGAGATCAAAGTTTAATGTTTTTTGGCCTCGAAGCGCTATGTGTGGCGGAAAGCTAACACTACTCTTTGCGTACAATATCCCCACTGTGAAACATGGTTGTGGCAAAATGATGCTGTGTGGGGTTGCTTTTCTTCAGCAGGAACTGGAAGCTGGTGAGAGTTGATGGGAAGATGGGTGGAGCTAAATACAAGGCAATCGTGAAAGAAGAAGAGCTACAATGGAACAGGGATTGTTCCAAGATTCTTTCTCCCCCGGGGCTAAAGGGGGGTTTGATCAATAGGGGGGCTGAGAAAATAAATTCGAAATATACCACACAGATTTATGGTGGGGCTATAGTGGCTATATATATATACTGCGAGGGTGATCTCTTTTTTTGTGTGGTGTCAAACAGTAAAGTAGAATGATACACAATATATCCAGCACGTGGTCGTATATTTGACAATAAAGTTGTACTTGATTTGACTTGACTTGATACTTAAGAGACAGCTCACCAATTATATCACTCTTTGTGGCGCTGGCTTTGAAGTTCATAGCATACAGGTCAGACACGATGACCCGGTAGCCTTGCTTTGAAAGCTCCTTAGTAGCCTCGTCCCGGACTGCTTCGTTGAATGAGCCCAAGCTCTGGTGGGCGTACACGATCAGGACCGTTTTTTGAGCTATGACACACACAAACAGGGTTGAACAGCAACCAATTCTCCAAACCATCCATCTTGAATAGCGCTTTTCCTGTTCAGGGCCAAGTAAGTAAGGGGAGTCTATCCCAGCTGATGAGAGACTTCACCCTGAATGAGAGCTGAACTATTCATCAAATTCAAATTTACATCACGATGTAATAGAATCCAATTTTCAAATTGCAAAGACTGCAGTCAAAAATCAACACATTTGCTTCATTTCGGTCAGTGGGCCCATTATTTTTATTTATGTGTCCACATGTTCAGTGCTTTCGAAGACTAGTCCACATGTTTACGGCCTGAAGTCCATGTCGTTTGGCTATAGTGGCTATATATATATACTGCGAGGGTGATCTCTTTTTTTGTGTGGTGTCAAACAGTAAAGTAGAATGATACACAATATATCCAGCACGTGGTCGTATATTTGACAATAAAGTTGTACTTGATTTGACTTGACTTGATACTCAAGAGACAGCTCACCAATTATATCACTCTTTGTGGCGCTGGCTTTGAAGTTCATAGCATACAGGTCAGACACGATGACCCGGTAGCCTTGCTTTGAAAGCTCCTTAGTAGCCTCGTCCCGGACTGCTTCGTTGAATGAGCCCAAGCTCTGGTGGGCGTACACGATCAGGACCGTTTTTTGAGCTATGACACACACAAACAGGGTTGAACAGCAACCAATTCTCCAAACCATCCATCTTGAATAGCGCTTTTCCTGTTCAGGGCCAAGTAAGTAAGGGGAGTCTATCCCAGCTGATGAGAGACTTCACCCTGAATGAGAGCTGAACTATTCATCAAATTCAAATTTACATCACGATGTAATAGAATCCAAATTTCAAATTGCAAAGACTGCAGTCAAAAATCAACACATTTGCTTCATTTCAGTCGGTGGGCCTATTATTTTTATTTTTGTGTCCACATGTTCAGTGCTTTCGAAGACTAGTCCACATGTTTACGGCCTGAAGTCCATGTCGTTTCTTCAAATTTGAAGTGATAAAGGCACACATTTGTTTGCATTAATGTTGTAACCCAATTCATGACAAACGGACTCAAGTTCATGCCACAGTTGTTTGGTAAAACTTTGTGGAGTTGTTGTAGGGATCACTTACAAGACTGCAAGTGAACGTGTTTCGTAACTCAAATTGAAGTAAATAAACTCGTCTTTCATAATAATTCCCAGTTCATTTGACATACCTTACCAAAAAACTGACCTTGGTAAAACTTTGTGGAGTTGTTGTAGGGATCACTTATAAGACTGCAAGTGAACGTGTTTCGTCACTCAAATTGAAGTATATAAACTCGTCTTTCATAATAATTCCCAGTTCGACATACCTCACCAAAAAACTGACCTAGAAGACTAAAACATTTGTGTAAAATAAATCTGATCTTGTTTATTGTAATATAATCCGCCAGACCTTAAATGCCGGTCCCTGAAAATATTGTCTGACTTAAACCGGTCCGTGGGCCAAAAAAGGTTGGGGACCCCTGGTATAGAGTACATTTGAGACAAACAAGGAATTACCCTCATATTTACACAGGAACTGAAAAATGAACTTCTGCTGCCTGCACAGATGAGAGAACCACTAGCTCATCACGGACCTATCACAAGCGGTGAACTGGAATATCAAACGGGAAAACTACACTTCTTTAAGATCTCCAGTTGAATGGAGTGACATGGAAATTATTTCAAGAGCTACAGGAAATGTTGCACGTCTTTGGAGCTCTTACCACATCATTTGATGCAAACGGCACACCTTTTCTTTACACACAGTATCATAATTGTCAAATTTGATTGACAAAGTTAACACTGAGGCGGCCCAGTGGTCGACTGATTAGCATGCCGGCCTCACAGTGCAGAGGTGCAGGGTTCGATTCCGGCTACGGCCTTCCTGTGTGGAGTTTAAATGTTCTCCCCGTGCCTGCATGGGTTTTCTCCGGGTACTCCGGTTTCCTCCCACATTCCAAAAACATGCACCCTAGGTTAATGCGCTACTCTAAATTGTCCCTCAGTGTGAGTGTGAGCGCAAATGGTTGTTCGTGTTTGTGTGCCCAGTGATTGGCTGGCGACCAGTTCAGGGTGTCCCCCGCCTACGACCCAAAGACTGCTGGGATAGGCTCCAGCATGCCCTGCGACACTTGTGAGGATAAGCGGATCAGGAAATGGATGGATGGAAAATCAACATTGGTGCTCAAGGACAGTATCAATGTAATCATATGTTCAATCAAGTTAACATTTGCAGAACTGCACCATACAGAGTTTTTTTTTTTTTTTTTGTAATCAATATTTTGGCGAATATACATGAAATGGCAAAGTTGAATGAACAATTCTTTGGATGATACATCACATTTCTGAGCTACTGTAAACAACAATCACGATAATAAATGCTTACTCGGAAATGTTGCTCTCTCAACTTAGCTGTAGATTTATAAAAGCGAGGTTTGAAATCCAGGTCCAGAAAGTAAAAACTCTGCCACAGTGTGGCTTTAGCCACAGGTGCTTCTCCTCAAGCAACCGGGGAGCTTTTTTACCTGCCGGTAGTCGACGAATTTGAGGCTAAAAGCCAAACCGTGGAAGGGTTTTTACATTCCGAATCCAGATTTGACACGTCTGTGTACAAATAAAACAAAGTCGGCTAAGCGCCATTTCCAAGGCCTTAATACTTTCAGTTTGTTTTGTCTCATTGGCATCAGATTGGAGAAACAACATTCCTTTGTGGATGCAACACATGATCTGCAGCTGAATGTCACGTTGCTCAAGATCAGCACCAAAGTTACAGTTTTGCTTTGTTTTTTAGATGGAATTAAGACAACCACCATGATCTGGGTTATCATATAAAAACATAAGGGTATGTTGTTAAAACATGGCAGTAAAATGTGGTCCTCGTCAAACATTAACAAGAGATAAAACATAAAAGGGTCATTGTAACTGACAAAGCTTCTGCTGATGCTGGGCAGTATCACCACGCCGCAGAAACATGCCAAGTAATTCTCAATTTAAATGTCAAATGTTTCCATTAGACATTATGGAAACCAAAAATGGTGTTATATGACATCAGTTTGATCATTTTAAAAAGATCAAGTTAACGTATTTTAGACTTCAGTGTTTGGAAGAATGAGTTCACACATTGAAATGATTTTGCTCCAAACAAATGTAATGTTGACTTACGTTCAACTTGTTCTGTTTCAAGGACCAGACAGTCCTCTGTAGCTTGCTGCTGTTCATCTTCTAACTTCGCCTCCTCGGGGGCCGCTTCCATGCTGTGTCTGCTGGATCAATTTGCACCGTAGGTCAGCTTCTTGCTGCTTTTATACACACTGTAGCGCTCTTTGCGTGAGACACAGCTTTAGATTGGACGTGAGATGGAGCAAAAGTATCCCAGACTTGCAACTACACACACATGCAAGAAAAAAAAAAAACTGTTGGCACACTGCAAGACCGGTTTCGTTTTTTTTTCTTTCCTAAGGGAGGAGACTAAAGTGTGCGTGCGTGTGCAATTTAGTCAAGCTGTGGAGTCACTGGTGCAGGTGAATAAGATTGGAATTCATTTGGCCTGGAAAAGAATGTATGGGACACTTATAAAGGGATTATCCGACAGACATTCAACAGTCATGTGGCCCAAAACACTTTAATCCGACTTAATTTCACTTTCTTAGAAGTAAAAGTGAATGGTTTGCCAAAGTTGAAGTAATTCAGTCAAGTCCACTTCTATAATGTCACCAGTCATTAGTTTCTGTGTGAAAAGACAGACTAACTGCTTTTCGTTTGGCCATACTGCAGCATTCTACTGTATCAAGTGTTTCCCCTATTGAGCACTTTTAAAATCCATATTTTATATTTCTGAAGATTTTATGCGTTCTGTGCCATACCCAAAGTACAATAAAAAGACCATTTCAATATGGATTTCGGTTTGATTAAAAAAAACAAACAAAAACAAAACAGCGTTCTTGTGTTATTTGGCCAAAGATAAAGCAAATAAAGCATATGGACAACTAAAACAATGAGATAATACAAAAAGGTATTTATACACATTTTTGAAAGCCTTTCTCAATGTTAACACCCACACTTAAAATCCTGATAAACTACAATTGTTCCAACCAACCATTTAAATAATCATTTAAAAGTTGTGGGTTTTTTTGTAAATTAAGTTTCAAGTAATATGGGAAGTTGTGTCAATCATAGTGTAACAAAGGTTACTTTCTTCTCATTTCGGCTGTCTAAAGTGTGTGGGTTGTTTATGAAAGAACAATGATGATCGCCGACTGTCATGACTACTACAAGATGTACTTTTTGTCACAAAACTCTACTGTGTTGGTGTTATTCAGACACCGTTAACCCAAGAGTTCCTGTCAGACTGTCAGACGCTGCCTTGGGTCTCACGGGCTGGAATGTGGCAGGAATGTTACTTGGTCACATCCACCATCTATTGATCAAGCCTTGAATCATTCCGTAACAAAACAATGCTCAGACTGCCCCTCTGAAAGAAATGTATGCAACCCTACAGGGGACAATGACATGATAGTAGTTCATTGTCTATTTTGAAAAAAATCTATAACATACAAAAGAAAATAAAAAAATCATACAGCTTGATGAAATGCCAAGTTATTATAACGGAACAAGATAGAATGTTTCAGAACCTTTACGCATTGAATTGATGCAAAAACTAAGCAACCCCAAACGCACTACTTGTTACAACTGTCTTTGTGGGTCCTTTACGGAACGAGTGTGTTCAAAAACTGTGAGGTTGCGAGGACGCTTCTTATGCACATCCTTGGCCAGGTCACACCAAACTTTTTTAGAGATCCTTCTAATCTGGCAAAGTCATTATTTTATTTTCTTTGGATGTGTTTATTTGGTGGTGGTGTCATGATAAAAGCTGAATTTCCACTTCAATTTAGGCCTCATGCAATTTAATCACCTCATGCTTTTGTCACAAAGCCACAAAAACAAGTACAGTACACTGTTTGGCCTTTTCATAATGGCCAGCATCCAAACCTCCATTCTTGCTCAAGAAAAACCAACCTAGAATAGGCCTTCATTCATACCATCATTTGAAAATTCCTGGGCATCTCATTTCTTCTTTGGCAAGCTATGGTATCAGGATTTATCATTTAGCTCCCATATACAAGTGTCAATGTGTTTTGTCACTTAAGCAACATCTGAATATTTGTAATTTCGACACCACTAGTCAATGCTGAAAAACGTAATGTTATTTGTACTCTGGCTGCCCAGCTTGAAATAAGCGGCTTTGCATCGCAGTTTAGAGTCAAAATTAGCATTTTCCGCCTCATCAAAACAAATTGAGAATCAGATTTTTTTTTCTGAAAATTTAACTGCTGAGACAGTCCCAAAAAAACTTTGCTGTACTCATTGCACACGCGATAAGGTGGAGCAAGACGCGCTCACGCCACATACACGCGGGTAGCCGGAGATCGAGGCAAGCTCAGTGCTACTTATACAGCACCTGTTAGCTGGCAGCAAGCTTTGTCTTACTTGCTAGTGTGGCTGGACATGTTGCGGAGTTGCTAAGTCAGTAATCATTGCCTCAAGGGCAGCAAATAAGTCTCATTCTCGCCAAGGGATGAGTATGATTGTTATGATCCCGTCCTGTCCCTTTTGCTTTCTTTTTCCAGTCTCCAGTTCACTCATGAGCCGCACCTATCTATAATCATGCCTCGTTACCAGCTGCCTTGAAAGAGTCTGTCATGTCGACAACTGGCTGTCGGATTATTCGCCTAGCTCACGACTCTGTCTCCATCCATCCATCCGTCCATCCATTTTCTGATCCGCTTTATCCTCACAAGGGTCGCGGAGGGTGCTGGAGCCTATCCTAGCCGTCTTCGGGCAGTAGGCGGGGGACACCCTGAACCGGGGGCCAGCAAATCACAGGGCACGCAGAGACGAACAATCATCCGCGCTCACACTCACACATAGGGATAATTTTGAGTGTTCAATCAGCCTGCCATGCATGTTTTTGGAATGTGGGAGGAAACCGCCTACTGCCTGAAGACAGCTGGGATAGGCTCCAGCACCCCCCACGACCCTCGTGAGGATAAGTGGATTGGAAAATGAATGAATGAATAAATAAAAAGTGTTCAACTGTAAAAATCTCCAGGTTGTTAAAGGTGAAACACGTCATTACGCCTGACGCTGCCGTTTTGGAAAAAACAATTTTATCATTTAATCGTGAAGTATTGATTCTTATATTTAGCTTTGAATTGCCATCATAATGAATTCAACTTATTCGATTTAAGTTTTCAACACATGTCAATGTTGAGACGTATTTTCAGGCTGCACCTCTGAGGGACAAGCTGGAGCAACCGAGCATTGACCAGCATGATTGGATTTTGGACGACATCACAGACTGACCACGCTGGGTGAGGCCATGGATCTGTGTCTCAGACATCACATGGTGGTCTGCAGTATGGGAACCGGTCGTGGCATGACCATTTATAGTCATCTATTTTTCTTGTGGTTTTCATATGTTGCAGCTTCGAGACAAAAAAGAGCTACAGTGTTGTCTTTTAAGTGTATACTTCTAAAACTCCCAAACGAATACAAGCCCGTATCGCATCCAAAACGTGCCTTCTCTCCTAATTTGGCTCCAGGTGCATTCAAAGACCGACTCAGAAAAAGGTAAATTAATGATACCTTCAATGGTGCTAAGAAAGAAATGCACCAAAACAGAAAAAAAAGCAAGCAAATTACAAAATAAATTCTATAGGGGTGTTGGTGAACACATCACAAAGGAGTAATTCTTTTAACATCAACATAGACACAATTCTGAACCAGTCCAGTCTTCTACACATAGTCTGGTGACGTTTTTTTTGTTTATGAAGTGTTATGAAAACAGTAGATTGATATCTAGTATGCCCCTACCCGCTGGAGCTGTTTGCCAATGTCACGTACAATAGTTTTTATGCCTTCTATATGACTCTTACTGTCTGTCATCAATGGTTCATGTTTTCTTTGGTCTGCCAATTCAACATCTGTTACAGTCATTTATCTTGTGTTCAGGGCATTCCAAATGGCTGCATTGGGTAGGTCCAATACAGGTCTTGCAACAGCACATTCCCACCTCTGTCTAAAAACACCTTGAATGGATAATAAGAGCAGAACATTGGACTCTTCTGAAGTGGCCTTCTTTGAGCCCTGATCTAAATGCCATTGAATATCCGTTCCGTCAAACCCGGGTCAAATTGAACAGTTTGTTCATGAAGAGTGGACCCAAATAACTGCTCACTGGTGCAAAAGTTTCAAAAATGACAAAAATCAGTTGATTGCAGGGCGGCACTTCACAGTGCTGCCCTGGTTACACACAGTGCAGCGGTGCAGGGTTTGATTCCGGCTTCGGCCTTCCTGTGTGGAGTTTGCATGTTCTCCCCCGTGCCTGCGTGGATTTTCTCCCCCCCGCGACCCTCGTGAGGATAAGTGGATTGGAAAATGAATGAATGAATAAATAAAAAGTGTTCAACTGTAAAAAACTCCAGGTTGTTAAAGATGAAACACGTCATTACGCCTGACGCTACTGTTTTGGAAAAAACAGTTTAATCATTTAATAGTGAAGTATTAATTCTTATATTTAGCTTTGAATTGCCGTCATAATGAATTAAACTTATTCGATTTAAGTTTTCAACACATGCCAATGTTGAGACGTATTTTCAGGCTGCACCTCTGAGGGACAAGCTGGAGCAACCGAGCATTGACCAGCATGATTGGATTTTGGACGACATCACAGACTGACCACGCTGGGTGAGGCCATGGATCTGTGTCTCAGACATCACATGGTGGTCTGCAGTATGGGAACCGGTCGTGGCATGACCATTTATAGTCATCTATTTTTCTTGTGGTTTTCATATGTTGCAGCTTCGAGACAAAAAAGAGCTACAGTGTTGTCTTTTAAGTGTATACTTCTAAAACTCCCAAACGAATACAAGCCCGTATCGCATCCAAAACGTGCCTTCTCTCCTAATTTGGCTCCAGGTGCATTCAAAGACCGACTCAGAAAAAGGTAAATTAATGATACCTTCAATGGTGCTAAGAAAGAAATGCACCAAAACAGAAAAAAAAGCAAGCAAATTACAAAATAAATTCTATAGGGGTGTTGGTGAACACATCACAAAGGAGTAATTCTTTTAACATCAACATAGACACAATTCTGAACCAGTCCAGTCTTCTACACATAGTCTGGTGACGTTTTTTTTGTTTATGAAGTGTTATGAAAACAGTAGATTGATATCTAGTATGCCCCTACCCGCTGGAGCTGTTTGCCAATGTCACGTACAATAGTTTTTATGCCTTCTATATGACTCTTACTGTCTGTCATCAATGGTTCATGTTTTCTTTGGTCTGCCAATTCAACATCTGTTACAGTCATTTATCTTGTGTTCAGGGCATTCCAAATGGCTGCATTGGGTAGGTCCAATACAGGTCTTGCAACAGCACATTCCCACCTCTGTCTAAAAACACCTTGAATGGATAATAAGAGCAGAACATTGGACTCTTCTGAAGTGGCCTTCTTTGAGCCCTGATCTAAATGCCATTGAATATCCGTTCCGTCAAACCCGGGTCAAATTGAACAGTTTGTTCATGAAGAGTGGACCCAAATAACTGCTCACTGGTGCAAAAGTTTCAAAAATGACAAAAATCAGTTGATTGCAGGGCGGCACTCCACAGTGCTGCCCTGGTTACACACAGTGCAGCGGTGCAGGGTTTGATTCCGGCTTCGGCCTTCCTGTGTGGAGTTTGCATGTTCTCCCCCGTGCCTGCGTGGATTTTCTCCGGGTACTCCGGTTTCCTCCCACATTCCAAAACACATGCA